TATGAATCCAATGTAGTCGAATCACTGCTGCCAGAAATGTATTTGCAACAGAAAATGTCCTCAGAGGCTTTGTTGCTTTTGTCATTGGATTTAGATTGTTCTGCCTGTCCTGAAACGCTTTCAGTACCTTACACAGTCATTTTATTCTAAAATATAGAACTACCAAATACACAAATAGAGTGAAATGTGCAGCACTTCAGTACCTATTTTTTTCAGTAATATAATCTCTTATTCTGCAACTAACTCTTTCAAGCATGCCAGTGTCTTGGAATGCAGTTCTGCTCCTGAATTCCAGGGATGCAGTAGTTACAAGTGCTAAAACCTCCAGGCTATGTAAGTGTGAGACAAACTTGCAATTTCAGTGACATACTACAAGAAGATTTCTTCTGAGACTGGGTTGCTTGAATAGTAAAGTGACATTCCACTGCTGCTTTAAGGCACCTTGATGACTTTGACTTGTTCTAGTAGACTACTTTTTTTTTTTTTTTGTATTACCTAAGGCTTTTTCTGTTTTGTTAAACACAAATTTTCTCTTTTGCCAAACCTACAGAAGCAAAGAAATCATTATATTGAAAAATCAAAAAGAGCAGTGGCTGGCCAGATGGATTCTGGGTAAGACCAGAATGACAAGTAAAACCTTTGCGCACACGACTAGCATATGAAATGGCAGAGGGAATAGGAGAAACGCTTCACAAGAAACTTATCTGAGAGCACTGGGAAATTTGGAACTGTTACATCCCTTTTTCTTTTTTTTTTTTTTCCTTCTTTTTCTGACAGTTCCTTCTGAAGGGGAAGTTCAACACCATGACAACAAAGCGGGTTCCCACAGCCCTTTTCCCACAGCATCCAGCCAAAGGATGAGAGGAGCGTGGTGTGAGGAGCAACAGGTCACCTTAACTTGGCTCCAGGGCCATGACAGGAGATCTCAGACTGCGAACAAGTCATGAAAACCCAGCCTCCTACCTCTCTGAACCATAAGGACTTCAGAAAAAAATAATTCTTTCCAATATATTCTCTGTAGGCAAGTATCATCAGCAAAGACAGTTTAATTTGACTTTGATCTGTATTTGTGGACCCAAATATCCCTTAACAGGATGTATAGGAGAATTTAAAGGAGTTAGTTTTGTAGAATTTGCTGGATTTCCAAAATACATATAATGCTCATAGGTAGTTTGGAAGCAAAATAATTTAACCAGATTTTCTTTATATTTTTAATACTGATAGCATGCTAGGTCAGAAAAAAAATATTGTATGTATTATCTTACATACTACTTTGATTCAAAGCTCCAATATCCCCAGCAGCAGCAAATGAGAGGAGAGAGAGACTGTAGCAGAGCCCTGCTCTCTCCGTCACAGTGCGTGTACGGCCAGCACAAGGACCCAGCCTTCCCTCAGGACAAGCTCTGCTCTGACTGCTCTTTTGTATGTAGCCTTTAAGTGTAAACAACATAAAAATAATGAATGTCCCAGACTCAAAGATATTTTAAACAATGTATCTTCTAATGTGGGAAAAATGATTCCGTTTAAAGAAACCCGATTTTTAAACAATTCTGTTTTGGGATTATTGATTCCAACATATACATACTCCGTTTCCACAGAAAGCAAATAATCCCATGATATAAAAATAGGCAACTAAATGAAATGCAGACTTTTATAATGTGGGAAATGTTTCCTGAACCAGTATTCTGGTTTTGATTACTTTTAGAGGTTTTAGGCGAAACTGACTCAAAGCAGTGCTTTTCAGAATGAAACTAAAAGATACGTAGACAGAGCTACTGCAAACTGTATAATGTCAAGTAAAACAGACAAAGCTCCAATTCAAAATTCAACAAAATATTTAAACACATATATAGTAAGAATATAGTAGATTTCCTGACATACTTAAAAGTTAAGTTCACCCTTGAAAATTTTGAATGGTAAACAGCATTGGAAAACAGCATTTGTGAGACTCCTCTAAAATGTATTGTAAACTGGAAAAAGCACAATAAAATAAAGCACAATAACACATCTTGTTCCCAAACTGTCATGTAGAATCCCTGTGGGAAGCTGACAACACATCACACTTTATGAACTTAGAAGACAGTGTGTATAACTGAACTCTCACATAAAATTCAGTGTAGTATGAGCAGCTCCAAACAAGATCCAGAAGCTAAACATTCCACATCCAGCAGCTTTTTAAAGTAAGAATCAAAGACAGTTTCAGGAACAGCCTTTGATATTATTCCATAAACACAATGGACTACAATTTACTGTAAGAAAAGGTTTTAAAACGAAGACCAAGGTGACAAAGATCAGTATTACTTAATACATGCTTCAGACAAGACTGTTGTTGGTAGTCGCTGTGGTTAATATCATGCTGACATCTAATGGTGGCTTTGTAAACTGCTCTCAGGTTTTCCTACTTAAAAAAAAATCATATACTCATAAACAACATACGGTAAATAAATATACTGATTGTAGACTATTTCCCTTTTGCAAAACAACAGAAAGCTGCAGTTACTCTGCACATAGAAGAAACAAAACCGGTGTTTCCAAAACTGACACACCTCACACAAATGCTCTTTCGAATTAACTGCCTACCAGACACAGTAGTGGAAATTCAAGGAATGATTAAATAAATGCAGGCTTTACCACAGAGTAATACCGAGGAGTTACTGTTGACAGGAACTTCCATATTTGAAATCAAACTGACTTACGTAAGCAAGTGAGGCAAAATCCAATGAAATTTTTCTCTTCACGAGGCCTAGAGATTAATAAATCAATTTTCAAGCCCACTGTTGTCTTCTTGCCAGACAAAAATCAAATTCTTTAATTCCTTTATTTATTGAACCAAAAATTAGAATAAGAAGCCATTCAGACATTATACTTTACTAAGGGTTACATTTTGCATTTTATTCTTTTCATACTTACTCGGCATTTCAGGAGCCTGCACAGGCTGCAGGAGCAATCTGCTCTAACTCAGACCCCTTGGGGCATCTCACCTGTGCGTGGTAAAGGACTTCTGAGTTACCTGTTCCTAATCCTGACGCTTCTCTTAACTTCAGGATTTAAGGAAAAACTAAAATGGCATTAAATAACATGATACCATCCCTCAGTTCCCACAGTTGAAGGGAGAGGAGCCGGGATTTACCTCACTGCTTAACTTTCTGGAAAGGACGTGCAAAGCCGGCAGAGGATAACAGCAGATGGCAGCAAGAACCCACAGCAGAGGTACCGCTGCCCACCCCCGCCCGGGGGGGGTCCAACTTCACTGGCAAACACCCAAAAGCAGTAAAATAAATGGAATGAGGGCCTATATAAAATTAGATAAAAGGCTTTCTCTTCTTTGAGTAAAACGCCAACGTTGTGTGGCTGAATACTGCAGCCTTAGAGGATGTCAGGTTGCCAGCTTTGTGAAGGGTAAAGGTCTTTTTTTACATATTTTTTGTATATTTTTTACTTTCAGTGACGGGGCAAATGAACAGGTGTTTCCTCTTCTTTGCTGAAATAAAGTAAACCAGTGTGGTACATTTTTTAATGCTTTATTCATATTAATTTTAAAAGCGTTTATCTTATTATTGGCACCAGCTTAGATTTTTCTAGTGCCAATTTTCTGTGGGTGATGAGGGTTCATCACAGCTTATCTACCCTATGTTTTTACGGAGCTTGTTCCTCCCATTTCAAGTACATCCTTCCTTCCTTCTTAATGAACGTTGAGACATTCTAAGCAGTTTATTGCCAGAAGACCCTAAGGCCAGCACAAAAGAATGATAAAACCACAGACGCTCTCAACTTCCTTATAGTATTATGAGCTTCAATACTGTATCTTCTACGGTTTTGTTCCGTTCTACTGTAAACGTGTTCTCATCAAAATTGTGCAATGAGTGCTCTGACCTGTCTGCAGTCTGAAATCAACCAGCAGAAGTGTGGCAGTAGGAGTTCACGCCAGCAACAAAAGGAGTGTTCATGAGGTATCTTAGTGTCACTGGGAGAAAGTGTTTTGGTCTTTTGCTGCTGCTGTTCACATCACTTGGAGACTTGAAGAAACAGGACCACACTTCAGCATTTGGAGCTCCACTCACCCACACATTCTTCTCAATCAATCCTGCTGCCTAATAAAAACTTTATTCCTCTGGTATATAATGGAAAGCAAAATCCCAGCTACTGCCAAGGAGGAAACTAACCACAGTATTATAATATCAACGCTTGAAATAAATCTCTGTGCATTCTAGTAGTCTAATAGCATATTTTGTTCACAGGTTGCAATGCAACTTCTTTGACAAAGAAGACAGCAATTACACACTATCAGTAGAGCAAAGCAATACAATAAATATGAGTTCACACATGCCCTTCACTGCCCAGTACTTATCAACACCCCATGCATGAATAAAGGTTAAAGAATAGCTGTGAATCATTTACAGCCCTCTTAATCCACCCTAACATAGAATTTATGTTAGGTTGGTAGGAACCTTGGAACTTTTTTCAAACGTGACAATCTTTATGACACCTGGCACATAACGACTGTGTGTGTAATGTCGTGTTTCTACACAAACCTCCTTTCCGTGGGATGAACCTTGGAGAAGAGCAGCACAGATTGTAACTTTGGTGTCTTCCAAAAGGGATGAAAGCTCCAAACTCTCCATCGGTGTCCTGCAACAGGTCGGGAAGGAAAGCGGTAATACCTGAAACTTGAGGTGAATTTTTTAAAAGGTTTTTTTAAAAGCCCTGGGCGCAGCTGGAACTCCCCTCCCCTCAGGAGGGGCTGCCGGGGCCCCGCTCACCTCAGGCCTCCCGGGGCGCACCGCTCCGCTCCTACCCCTTCACCTTCTCCCCGCTCCGGGTCCCGCTTGCCACCCCTTCCCGGCTCGCTTCCCGCGGCCGTTCCCCAGCTCGCTGCCGGTCCCTCGCCTCCCTGTCGCTGAGGGGGGCCCCCCCGCCGCGTCCCCTCAGCGCCCCAGGTGGCGCAGGGCAGCGGGGGGCGGTGTGCAGCGCGTAACGGTCGCCGCCACACCCTCGCGGGGCAGGGCAGCGCGGGGCGGTGCGCGAGGCTGAGGGCAGCGCGAGCCGGGCTGTGAGGGGGCGACGAGCGCGAGGGACAGCGGCTTCTCCGAAGGGACGGCGGCAGCGGCCATGGCGGACCACGAAGCGGGGATGGCTCCGAAGGGCCGGCGGGTGCAAGGTAACGGCGGGATGGAGCGGGGAGCGGGGTTCTCCCTAAATAGCAGCCGGGGGCGCGGCCCCGCAGCCGGTCGCTCCCCGCGGGCTCCGAGCCCGGGGCGCCTCCCTGTCCTTCTCCGGTTTTCTGTTTCGGTTTTAATTTTTGACTTTATTTGGGCGCTGAGGAAAGTTTGTAGCTCCTTCAAAGTTAATCCCCTGGAAAGAGCGAGGAGCGGTCCTGGCTGGGCTCCCGGGCGGGCTCCCGCTTTCCTGCGGCCCCGGGGCCCCACGGTGGGCCGGGCCCCGCCGGCCCCTCGCCGCTGCCCCCGGGGAACGGCGGCCGGACGGAGCCGGGCGCTGCCGTTGCCCAACGGGGCCGCGAGTCGCCGCTTCGCATCCGTTTGGAAATAGCAGAGGGGCAGGCAGGGGAGCATCGCGGAGAGCTGGCCCCGGTTGCGCAACTTGGGGTTTTTGTCTGTGTGTGTGGTTTTTGTTTTCCTGTAACTCGTGTCACTAAGGGGAAAGTTAAACAAATCATTAAGAGCAGAGTCAACAGGAGTAATCCCCGGGGCGCTGCACCGGTAAATGAGAACAAAAAGGATTTGGGAACTGGTTGTTTACATCCCTAGTGCTCTTCGCTTGAGTAAAACGTGAGACAGGTGTGACTGGAGGAAGTGATAAAAGTCAATTATAGTTCCTCAAGTTGGGCAATGAAGCCGCAGTTAACTTTTACTTCTTGGTATCGTTATTCTAGTGGGTTTTGGCCTTTCAGTTTAGGTGTGAGTGTCACCTGCCTCGGGAAGTTGTGGAGATGCTGAACTAAAATAACACAACTCACAGTATCTGTCCCTGGAAGCTGGAGCGTTTTCCTGTTACTTGTGTTGTTCAGAAACAGGCTGCAGAAAAAAAAAGCCATGATTTATTTTACGCTTTTGTCATTTGCAACTGGAGGCGGAAATGTATTTATAAGATCACTTTATATACAAAGGCTCGGGCTGGGTAATCTGAGTTGTTGTATAAATAACTGTAGGTCTATTTGGGCCCCATGCCTAATGGCATGTACTAGCTCTTGTATCCTTGGAGAGGATCTACATTTCATTCTGTAAGTATGTTAGTTATTAATACGTGACAGTGGTCGCTGTGACGCTAACCTTGTCCGGGACTCAGCAAGCCTTTCCCTTCTCATGCTACAGAGGTTGTTTCTTCCCTACATACTGTGTGACGGGTTGTTTGGAGGCTAAAGCTGACTGCCAGTTATTTTTGGCATGATAAAATATCGATGGAGTAAATGGCATTAGATATAATTCTTGTTATTAGGTGTAGCGACATTGGCTATTTCCCATGTGAAATCCGTTGAGAAGCATCTGAAAAGACATTTAGTTTTCATTGAAAGTAGTATTCCTTATTATTCCTGTTTGTTTGCCAATTAGCAAACAGTTGAATAACTGTTGTAGAGTAACACCCTTCAGTCGTTCTCAGACAATCCTGGATTTGACCAAGCAGCATGAAAGTGGAGATCTCTGTCTAGCATTGCCTTGTGTTCAGTCCGGTTGATCTCCCATATATGTTTTGCTTTCCATCTGGTGAGTTGTTTGCACAGCTCGGGAGGGAAGGTCCTTTCCTCTCATGGTACCTTCTGGCACATTTTTGCTGGTTTTGCTGTTTGACTGTGATGTGCTTGTTCAGTTTGTGTGGTGAGGAGAAGAAAAGAAGTCACAGGCAAAGTGCATGCCACACCTCAAGCAGTAATGAGAACTTCCCCTTCCCATCTCAGCCTCCAGCACTCAGTGTTTATTATAAATTGTTAATACTGTTTGATGATCCAAGTGATAATTTCTTGCTAAAGTAACGGTAACTGTTCCAGTCAGCGTTAAAGGGATTGAAGGCTGATTCAATTAAAATTTTTTTTAATATTCTTTCTCCTTGTTTATTTCTTGAAGAGGTACATAATCTGTTGCAGACTGTCCATAAATAAGATGCCTCTGATCAAATTCCAGGTGTGAGGTTTTTTGTGTCTGGATAATAAAAGGGCAAGAATATCCCCTGTGTTTGAGCCGAAGCCGTAGGGGTACATGACAGGGTGTTTGGCACTTCAGAAAATCAAGCAAGAGAGAACAGAAGGTGAGCAGCTAGAGTTACTGCAAGTTAAAAAATGGACTTTCTGCTGTTGGTGTCTCATCAGTAATACAATCATCAATTTGTCTTTTTCTTTCATGCTTACATTTTCTAGGCCTTGTTTCTGCAAGCCTTAAAATGAGGCAGAGATCCCAGCAGCAATAGCAGTGGAGCAAACGCAACAAACTCTATATTTTTTAATATTGTCTGACTGGTGGTGATGTCTAGTTTTTGAAGTTATTATGTTGTTTTTCTCCTTGCTCGTTCAGCAGCTTCATACATCAAAGTATATTAATATTTAAATATATATCCCCAGCAATTATTGTTAATGATCATGTGTCTGTTGTATGAGCAAGGGTTTTGGGTTTGTTTTTTTTTCTTTGGGAGGAGTAAGTTGTATTTCTCCTTCTTGATTTTGATTATATAATGGTACCAGAAATGTCACATGGGGAGTCTGGCTAAGGGAGAAGTAAAACCCAGTTCCCTATCGTTCCCAGGCAGAACTCTCACTACAAAAAACATTTTTCTTTATTTCTTAAGTCTGTTTTCAATTATTCTCTAGTTGTTTTGTGGGGACTTAGAGAGAAGAATATCTCTTTGAGCTGTTCTTTGACAGCCTGCCAAAAACAAAGATAAATTTGTCTCTGTTAAAAGGTGCATGTATGTGATGTGTGAAAGAGGGCTGGGAGACAGTCTCCTGGAGCCAGCACTTGGTGTGGTATAAAATCTTTTGTTTTCCAGCAGGTTGGGTGGGCAGGGATACGCATCGTCAGCAAGAGGTGTGTCTGAGGCTGCGTGTTACACCTGCACCCTCTCTGTCTGTCTCATTTCAGTAAAGTAGCTGCTCTTTAAGAGTCCAGTATCAATGAACCTAACTGAGAAATCTACAAGAATGGGCCATTGATGAAGTTATTCAAGCCCCATGAATGAGGTGTTCAAAAATGGCAAAAAGATAGCTCATTCCACGGATGCCAAGCGTGTTTCCTCTACTTCCTACAGTTTTTGACAAGACAGCATCTCTCTGGCTTTTTGTATTGTGAAATACATAACACGATGGGACAATCAGGGTTGCTAAATAAAATATGCGCTTACTCAATCTTTAAATTTTACACAATTTGAGTTGTGACTTCTACCCTCATGTTCAACAGGGAAGCAAATGGATCTCTTTTTTTTTTTTTTCCATGCCATAGTTCTGGTAAGAGCAGGTTGGTGGTTGGTGGTGAAGTCTTGGTGTTAAACTGTAGAGCGGAACTGAAGCAGGATCCACAGCTCCTTTAGGTTTTTAAAAGTTACTGAGTAAAAGCAAGAGTGAAATAAACTTTTCCTCCTTATCAGTGTAGATTGTGAGTACTTTTTATGGTTTCAGGCTGACTAATACCTTGTCACTGAATTAAAGGTAATGTTCCCTTCACTAATGAGTTTACAGATGTTGCTTAATGCTGACAGCTGCTTAATACCGGTATGTGTAGGTCATGCATTTCCTTGGCTTTCACAGAAGGCCTAGAAATTACCCCTTTAATCTGGTATTTCCACTAGGTAGCAATAAATCTGTTGGAGACTATCTTTTGTAACTTTCCATAGAGGACCTTTAAAATGACTGTGATGTGACGTGTTCTTGAGGGTTATTATACTGGCATGTGACAGGGATAAAATTCTACTGCCTTCAGAAGCTTTGTGTGACTTCAGAAAGCTCAAGTTCCTGTGTGAGACCAAAAAACTTGATATTCTCCACTGCCTCCGTGTTCCATCTTACTGGAAAGGCTGGGAATAGCTCTGAGACCCACAATGAATGCATACAAGGACTGGAAGCTTCAGTATTTTCCTTCATAATAAAGTGAGTCCTACTTAAAATAACTGTTAGGGTGAAGACTTGGAGACTTATTTCTCATAACTGGCCAGTTTTGTTGTACAAACTGAACTATAGTTGTGTTTGGCGAATACAAATATAATTGAAGGCAAAACTAAACTAAAACTTCTAGTTTTAGTTTAACTAACTTTAATGCAGTTTCTTTCTAAGCGAGCTGCTGAACGCAGTCCATTAGGTAACAAGACTCCAGTCCTTTAAGTATTTGTGACACTGATCAAAATATTGCATATTTGCAGCACTGTAAGGGGGTCTTCACAGTTCAGCAAAATCAGTAAGTGTGGTCCTGAAGCAACATTCTTCCCTCTAAATGTGAGAATATTGGTTTTTTTAAGCTTTGTGGGTGCTTCACGGTGTTTCACACTTACGGCTTTTTAAAGGATGGAGTGAGAAACTGCAATTAGTCTACCTCCAGAGTAGGAATGCGATGGTGGTGAGTGCTCAGTCTCACCCTGGGATGTCCCGCCTTGGCAGTGGGCTCCTGGCAGCCTGTAGGAGTCTTAGCTGGCAGGATAAGAAACTTCCTCTGGCTTTAGGGATGCTTCCCAGCACATCCGCGTTTTGTCATGGTGTGTTGCTTTTTTTAGCTGTGTAGCATTTGAAATCACTAGCTCTTGGTATGTGCACCTTCAGTTGGTGTCATTTCGTGACAGAGAACTAACGTGTTTGTCTTCTAAGCATAAGGCGTCTTTGGCCAAGAAATGTTTATAGACACCTTATTTCACGTCCACTTAATCTTGCACTGCATCTTATCCTACTCCCTAGATATAACAGTTCTGAGAATTGTGGTTTTCTTAGATCTGCACCTATGACAGCTGGAACATAAACCACATTCTAAATGTCCTGTCACTAGAGTTGATAGGTTACGGGGTATTTGCATTTCACTCATTAAGCAAGTCTTGCTCTCACTTCCTCAGACAGTACGAGAACAGAATTTCTACTGCTGCATATTGGTCATTCAGCTAGAGAAAATTGGGGAAGAGGGAGGCATTTGAAAGACTATACTTAAGTGTTAGCATACTTAATTCTGCATAAATGTTACTTGTATCACGTTCTGCCCTAAGGTATCTTGCACAACTTGTAGAAACTAGTAAAAATGAAAGCAGAATTTGGCTTTTAATTTGACTTCCGATCTAAACGTAATGAGTTAGGCCAGAGGAGTAGTGCTAACAATGGCTTGTATCAAGGAATATCCAACACAAATATCGTTGTAGGCACTCCTTTAACAGACACTCTTGGTTTTAAAAATCTGACAATCTCTGCTCTTTTCTTGCAGATGACGTCGATACTGGCCTTGGTGTGTGTGGATGGATCCTGGTGATCACTTCACTTTTTTTCACTGTTATTACATTTCCTATATCAATCTGGATGTGCATAAAGGTAAAATTGTTCACTGCTAAGTTGGATTAAAATTTAAAGCAGTGCAGATGCTTCCCAGTGATTATTATTGTTCTCTGTTTTATTTGTTTTAATTAGAAATTAATCTAACTATTCTTTCTTGAACTAGAGCAGACAGTATATAACAGCATCTCAGTGCATTAATGTATTTAGTCAAAAGTGGTTTTGCATTGACATCTTTACTATGTCTACCCAGTTGTCATTAGTATATAAGCTAGTTTGGAAGATCAGAATAATTGCAAGAATGCATAATTACTCTTGGAGGACTGATAGTTTAATTTTTTTTTAGGGAGATCTCTCCCTATATGTGTAGTGTGTAAATATGAGGTACGTATGAACATCCAAGTGTATACATAAATGTGGCTGTATGTGACAGATGCGTAGAGACTGTGTCATCTCTGACTGCTCTGAGCTTGATTTTTTTTTTTTTTTTTTTTTTTTATTTTTTTAGCCCAGGACTGTTTCTGTGATGTACTCTCTGTGTTTTCTCCCCTGATGGTTACACAAGCCAACCCAAAAAACTGGTCCTTCTTGAAAAGAGTCTGTACATAGACTGGTGTGGTCCCTGTAGAATGTTACTTATGCATAAACAGCATGGAAGACAGAAGGTGGGAGGAGTTACTGCTGTACCAAAAGGAAAAAAAAAATAATAAATACAATCTAGTCAAGTTCTGGGAGAGAATTAAATGTGCATTGGAGAGCTTGGGGTCCTCGAGTTGTTGGGGGCTGAACGGCCCAGCAGCAAGGGCAAAGGGGAGAACCTGGGGAGAAAGGGACTGGGAAGAAGGAGGGGACCTCTCTGTTCTCCTTCTGAACTGCCCAGTGTGGAGCTGCAGCCAACCCTCTGGAATAAAACTGTGAAATAGATTTAGGAGGCATAAGAAGGGTTGAAGTAAGAGATGGATATTTCTGTCTTGTTTGTGCTTTTTTTTTTTTTTTTTTTTTTTTTTTAAGTTTCTAGACCAGAGGAAGTAACTTCTTTATTTTGGCTAAGACACCGCGTCAGAATCGGAGCTGGAAAAGTCTCTGCTGGGTCACATAAATTGCGCTTTGTTTTGTTGTTGCCAGGGTATTCCCTGATGACATGCTGTTGCTTCTGCTGTTGATAGATGGTGCCACAGTCTGAAGAATCTTTCTGTGGAATGCTGTCCTACTTCCTTCTTCTGCTGTTTGCTTTTTTATGACAAAGTTTAGGCTAAAATTCTCAAAAGCAGACAGTGTAGAAATGTTTGTCACATTTGAGACTCAGGACTGTCTTAGACTAGTGTGTATGTGGTTTGGAATCCATTGTGTGGCTTCTGGAAACTCTTGCATGACATCCAACTGTTTCTTACAGATCATAAAGGAATATGAGCGAGCCATCATATTCAGACTTGGACGCATCCTAAAAGGGGGAGCAAAGGGACCAGGTATGTCCTGGAGAGCATTCTTAATATTTGTTCTCATTAAGCCATCAGCAAAATAATAGCTGTCTAGAGACATTGCATTAGTTTAGCAAATGGATTTCTCAAGAATTTCGTAACTTCCAGTAAGAGGGTATGTTACTTTATAAGGAGAAGACAGTAAACAAATGTTCTGTGAGCCTTTCCCAGATCTCCTGAGTTAATGCACAGCCTTTGGGTAGAATCAAAAGCACAAAATGTAAAGGGAGGAATAATGACATCAAATGTGCCATTTTGAAAAAGAAGTTTAGTATGTCAGTTAAAACCCAAATGGTCTGAAAGCCTCGGTGTTCTTCAAAAGAGAGAGAAGCAATTATATTTGATAGTTTTGAAAAGTTTCCTACGTATATTAAAAATTCTGATGAGATTTGAAAGAATGTTATTTTCAGCTGTTGCTCAAAGTGACAGCAAGGGACAATAGCTTCTTCCTTCATTTTCATCCAGGATTTGCAATACTTCCACATTGCTGTAAAGTTGAAGTTACAGTGATCCACCAGAACAAAAGGAGGTTGATAGTTTCTGCTGGCCAGAATTTGGCCCCACAAGTAGCTATGTGGGACAGATTTTCAAAAGTAGCTGTTGACAGTTCTGGGGTGGTTTTTTTCCAAATGTTAAAGATCTGTAAAAAAGTGTAGTCCTGAATAAACTGAAGTTTCTCAGCGTACTTTATTGAAATTCCTATCCTGGATTGAAAGCCACTACCGAACAAGCTGCTGAGCTCACTACAGTGACAGTGGTTGGATTCAAGCTTATTTCAGTACCAAGTTTAATGAGCTATTTTTACATTTCCTTGAATGTTTTTCTTTTTTGTACAGGTTTGTTTTTTGTCCTGCCTTGCACTGACAGCTTCATCAAGGTTGATATGAGGACTATCTCTTTCGATATTCCTCCCCAAGAGGTGAGTTTGCACTTGCCTTTCTATCTGCTAAAGGTTCTTTTCTTTTTTTCCACTTTTTCCTTCTCCCCTCTTGGTATTGGGTAGCACATAGTTGTTTCATTTATTGTGCAGTTTCAATGTATTGTGAAGAATACATATAACCTTTAGTAATATCATTAAATAAGAGAAGATGGCTGAAAGAAAATGGATTATGCTGTCCTCTAAGGACCAAATAAAATAACTTAATTCTGCCTAAGAGCTGGAATGGGAGGGGTTTGGAATGAAGACTGCTGGACTTCATGCAACATTCTCTAATTATTTCTGTGCAGTCTGGAAGATTTCCAGAAGCAGCAGTGATCTTTCCTATGCCAATTTATCTGGATGTATAAACAAACTCAAATAACAGGATGAAATTATTACATACGTCACATGCTATTAATAGCAGCTGGGTAACAGTCCCCTGTCCTGTGTGGGTTCTGTGTACGCCTTGCTGTGTCCTGCTTTGCACAGGAGCATTATGAAGGTGTATTGCATCTAATGTCATCTGATGTCTTTCAGTGTGAAAGTCCTAAAGAACAAAAAAATTACTTTTATTTCCAGTCTGTTTTCCTTGGACATCTTCATTTTTTTTAGCAGAATCTGTCCACAGCATTAAGCTAGCTGAACTCAGTGGCGCCGACTCAGTGGACAACAAAAGGATAAAAACCAACTTGCTCTCTAAGAATAAGTTAGTGAACAATTGTATGTTGATGAATAGAACTGTATCCCTTGTCTATCTGGTGTATTTTGCAAGACAGAGATGCTTGATGCAGCCTGTCTGGTGCGTCTGGTTTCTGTCATATTTGCTGGTTGGTTTATTGCTCATCATTAGTTGTAGATTTAGACAAATGGTGAGTGTCATGGTGCGCTCTAAAGGGTAATTGGTAGAAACCTAATCACTGGCAGGCAAAATGTGCTTGCAGCTGCTGATGTGCCATTAGTGAAGCCATCAGTTCTACGGTTTTTCTTTCAGCTTGATTTAATTACAGTTATAGATTTAGGTTGGTTTGTTTTCAGTAGGTAAAATCAGAAATACATTTGTATTTGTACAACATAATTTCTGTTCCTGCTACTCATCCTTTGCTTACCTGATGCTATTATGAAAAGCCTGCTTAAAGAGGTGGTTTGGGGAAGGACAGAGCAGGTAAGGCTGGAAGGTAACTCACTCCCATGTCCCTCTCTCTTGTCCAGTAACATGATAGTAATTGCCTAACGTGGAACTAGGACACTTCTTTTCATGGTCCTGTGGAATATTTCAATCTCTTTTAAACTTAACTTTAAAATATAATTAATATTAATGCTTCTTTCCGGTGTACCCTCTTCCAAATCTTCAATAATATCTCTCTTTATCTTCTTAAGTACATTCATTGCTTAACATACAAGTGTTAAATTCAGTAAATCACTTGAATCTAGCTCTGGGGATGTTCACAAATTGGATTTCCTCTGCAGCTTGTCTAGAAATCACCACGTGCTCATTTAGTAGCACAAGGTGGCATTTCAATCAGAAGTACCCCCCAGAAGGACAATGAAGTGCTGGATAATAACGGAGATATTTCTCATTAAATATTGAAGTAAGGCTGACACCCTGGCAGCTGAAATATGTCAGGTTGGGACAGGCAAAACCAATTTTGTACCTAGGTAGACATACTTCCATGAAGCTTTCTAGTCTTTTCTACAATATCTCATGGGTCTGGCTCTCCCTTTCTCTGACCATCATTACACACTGACAGCCTTTCTTAGAAAGTTTCTGCATTTCTGTAAAGTAACTTCCAGAGCTGCTGCTGTGCTGGAGTCTGTACATGGGCCAGTCCTGTGTTAAGGAATAAGGAATAACTGAGAACTGCCTTCAGCTTCGGCCACACCTGCTGTATGGGAAACACTCCATTGTGATGTTTCTGTGAAAGTGCAGCTGAAATACACTCCTTCTTCCCTCGCCTGCTTTTTAAATCACCTGCCTGTTGCCTTCTGTTATAAACTGACACACCTGCAGAGCTGTGTCTCACTAAATCAATAGTCTTGTGACTGTAGTTAAATACAAGAGAAAATCTAATGTGTTCTATATTTGAAATGATATTCATTATCAGCCTTTTTCTCTGAACAAACATCAAATTAGCCTCTCATAAATGTTTCCAGTGTGTGCTCTGAACTAGAGTGTTTGAACCCATTTTGAACATAGTGGTCCCATATTGCTGTCTCTGTGTTAAAACAAAACAGTTTTGAGAGCTGATGTTCTGTGAACCTTTTCTATTACCTTGGTCCTTCCCTAAGGACATACCTCCTGCACCCTGGGCCCTCACTCTGCCCCTTACACCTCTGTCACTCTTCACCTCACTGAAATACAGCCGGGGGACCCACTGGGTTATCGTACGTTGAGAGTTTCAGAATAACAGGTTAAAGTTTCCCAGATACAAAGAGCATATATGTTTTGGTGTAAATTATTTCCAAATTTTTTTTTCTGTGACCCGTATGTAATGCAGATCTCTCTGAATTTGAAGAAGTGAGTTAGAAATAACATTATGGCAAACTAATGGAATGTTTTTCAGTGGGAAGTGTTCTAATTCCGTATTTAGTCTTGGCTTCACAGAGCTACACTGGACAGTTTGTTTATCTGTACATAGACATGTTTGTGTGCAGCGTAGGTGTGTGACACCTCTTGTTTTCAAGACAGTTGCTTTGCCCTGGAAAACCTAGGAGTTTGTCTAGTAAAACAAATATGTAATTATCATTATATTCAAGAAATATATGCTTAATTATTGCATGCTTTCCCCATTGCTTTTTAGATCTTGACCAAGGACTCTGTGACGATCAATGTGGACGGGGTGGTTTATTACAGAGTTCAGAATGCCACCCTTGCTGTAGCAAATATCACCAATGCCGACTCAGCCACCCGTCTTTTAGCACAGACTACTCTGAGGAACGTCCTGGGGACCAAAAACCTTTCCCAGATTCTCTCCGATCGTGAGGAAATCGCGCACAGCATGCAGGTATGAGTGGCTTCACTTGAGCAGTCTGTCAAACAGGCAGTTACACAGCAATCCCATGGTCCCATGGAAAACTTCCAAGTCAGGATTTATTTTGCCTTCCAAGAGATCAGCCAAGCTGTGATTTGGAGCTTTAGGCAAAACCCTATCAGAGCTATTGGGATGGCATTCTGGATAATAAAAATGAGTGAACAAAGCAATAACTGATCAGTGGGGCCAGCAAGTGTGAATGGGGGCTACAGGAGAGGAGGGTTTCCCCAGGTCACTATGTCAATGCTCTGCGTTGAAGGAAATTATGGCACAGATTCCCTTCAATATATTAAGCTCTGGGGTTTTTTTGTTTACAATAGTTATGCTTTTATCCCTATCAAATCATAGTATAAATACAAAACCCCGTAAAGTCTAAACATTGTAAGATAATTAATTTGGTTTCTTGGTCATTCTTCAAATATGGAGATTTGTTTGCAGCCAGGCAGGTGCTTAATTAATTGTCCTGCTTTATATAGGCCACGCTTGATGAGGCAACAGATAATTGGGGCATTAAGGTGGAACGTGTGGAGATCAAGGATGTGAAGTTACCTGTGCAGCTGCAGAGAGCGATGGCTGCAGAGGCCGAGGCTGCCCGGGAGGCCAGAGCTAAGGTAATAACAACATTTGGGGTTTTCTTCATGAGTAATTTAATGTGGTGATGGAGAGGATGAAGATTCTCAGCCAGACTGTGTTGTAGCAAATAGGAATGCAGGGCAGGAATTTTATGTCCAAGTGCTTGCTCTGTTTCGTTGTGGTTTGTGCAGGTGAGATTTCCTTCAGAAAAGCAGAATCTCAATTTTTTCTCGCACTCCAAGAGCAAATCATAAACAGAACAATTTAGAGGTTATTAGCTGGAGCCTGCAGGGAATTAGAAGCCAAACTTAGTTCCAGCTTTTTCCTGATTAGCCTTGGGTTTCTGCAAGTCCTTTGTTTTCTGTTTGTTTCTTCATATTCTGCATTCTAAATACTAAAAGTTTGTCTTAGCAAAGGGTGGTTTACTTAAGTTCATCTAATGCCACAAAATGCCTTCTCAATGTAGAAGGTCCCTGCTTGTAAAGAAATGCATGACCACAAAAGAAAGGGAATAAAAAGGTATTTTCCCAGTAGAAATGTGCCATTTACCTGTCAAGCCTTTGTAGAGACAAAAAAATACAGCTTTAAGTAAAAAGTGTTTTCGGATCTCTATGGGGAGTGCCATCTGTTCTTGAGAGGGCGCACTGAAAGAAGCACAAAAGCTTATGAAAATGTGCACCCATTGCACCTTCAAGACGTGGTGCCAGCTTTTGTGACACCAAATGGGAAGAAAACTGGCACACAGGGCCCTGGAGCAAACAGGAGTTACTTCTGTCTGAGAGAAAAGGCAGAACCAGCCAAAGAACATGGTACAGGGAGGTCACTCCAATGAGATGAGCAGTGTCTTTGGTTTATGGCTTAAGGTTGAAGTCAGCCTAGAGCCTAGTTTATTACTGTGCCAGAATTAATTCAATTTTGTTCATTTTGCTTCCCCAGGTGATTGCAGCTGAGGGTGAAATGAATGCTTCCAGGGCCCTCAAAGAGGCATCCATGGTCATTACGGAGTCTCCTGCTGCTCTTCAGCTTCGTTATTTGCAGACCTTGACCACTATTGCCGCGGAAAAGAACTCCACCATCGTCTTCCCGTTGCCCATCGATATGCTGCAGGGCATCATAGGTGCAAAACACTAGGAGGAGCAGGGGGAGGGAGCTTGGGGTGGGTTTTTTAGCTACAGCAAATCTTTGCAAGGCTGAACTCCCTGTGTATTATAGCTTATGGAGGCATTAACAAAGTGGATTTGCCGAGGAACCTCTTCTGTTATATCAAGTTTGTTATACAGCTTATGTGTAATGTTTGTGAATATGGACAATCAAAATATTTTAAATTTGAAAACCTCTCAAAATGAGTACAAGCAGATTGTGATGTCAAATAAGTGGGTACAGATATCCATACTGCCCTGGATGGGGCACCTTTAATAAGCTCCCCTTTTCAAATAGTATCTAAAACCATCAGTGGTGAAGATGAGATGATCCAACGTTTGGAAAGAGAAGTGTTCCTTTTAATAAATGGGTCTGTAGCCCTGTAGGGAAAGTGGAACAGCCCTGACTCTATTCTCTTGGGGTGTAGCTGTATGTGATGAAAGTCATCAGATTGTTGTTGTGGGGCCTGGTTCTTACACAAGGGAAGCGATGGAAGTTGATACAGGAGTGAGAATCCTCTTCTGGGCACTTCTGAAAATCCAGCTCAGACTCCCTAAAATCCCCCATTCATGAGAAACAGCTGTTGGTGGAACTTTCCATCTCTGTTCTGGCACAGACAAATGATATAAACTTGTAGTCACAGACACAAGATTCCTGCAGTCACCCATGGGCTGTTCTCTTGGGATGGGGGTGTCCCTGTATAAATTTATGATTCTTTAAAGTACTGAAAAGTTGTTGGATGCCTTTATCTGTCTCTCTTTAAAAGGATTTTAAAAAGCCAAAGTACTGTCTATCTGTCTCCTGCGTTTTATCCAGGTCTAAAACCTGCTTCTCTAGGCCTTGAGATCTCTGTAACTGGCAGAGGGGTGATTATAGCAGAAGATGCTGCACTGCTTTTATCTGTTCTACCCAATTAGTGATTTACCTGTCGATGCTGCTTCTGAGCAGATTTGTATTTGTCGTGACACTGAGGGCTTACACTTCATACCAAAAGCATGTAACCTCCAGCTCATCTAGTCTTGAGCTGCGAGTCTGTGAAACTGTATTCATATTTTGTACCTATTTAGTAGATGTAATTACAGATTAAAATAAGAAGAGTTGAGAGTCTAAATGCTGGGGAGGCTCTTTCAGCTACCACCACCACTGAGTTGGCATCGGGTCTTTAATTACTGGAGGTGGAAATGAAAAGCTGAGATCAGTGATACCCACAGGCCAGCATAAAGTTCCTAAGGTGGTTTTTATCACTGTTCTCTGACCACTTCTGTCCTGATGGGTCTGTTTAACTGGACCTTCACACACTGTGCCTTTGCCGCTGTTTGGATGCCCCTTTGGGCTGTTCCTCTTCTGCCTCTTTGCAGAGGGGAAAAAACATTCACAAGCATCATGAAGGCAGTGCACAGTCAGTGGCTTCAGTTAATGGAACCTGAGCTCGACTTTTTGCAGGGAGAAGGTGGAGAAATACAATTAACAAAGATGTAGTAATTAGCATTACTGTGCTCGTGCACTGGAAGCAGGAAACGGTAACTACAGAGCTCGAGGGGACTCCTTGGGGACACAAGTGACTCTGTAACTCCCAGGGTGCTCTGGAGACAGCCACCCCTGGGAATTGTTGTTGACACCAGAAGCAGACTTTTTGCTCTCATCCTGAATAAAAAACCTGTGCTATTTACTAATGAGTAATGAGTGACTTTCCAAAAGAGCAGAATACGGTTTATTTATCAGGTTCTTGAGTGCTAATAACTCTGGTGAGGGGAAAGCAAAACAATTCCAGAACCCCCAAAATAATTTCTGTAACCATTTAGTAAAAAGTGCACGTGCAAAAGATGGCACAAAGGTGGTTTCATTTTCTAAGGTGTTTTGTTTCAAACAAGTTCAAATGTGGGATCTACAGGTTCCACTTAATGTTTTCTTCGTAACAAACCCCACCATTTCTATTTTTCACCTATTCCATACAAGCTTTATTGTATTAAATATAATCAAAGCAAGGAGTAGGGTCAATGACTGGTCATGATTGATTGTTTTCGGTAATTATTGCACAGCTAATTGGCTATTAACATCATTGCCTTAGTAACATGCATCCTGCAAGAGGAAGTAGCTCGTGAAGGCATTGAAGGCACTAAACTTGCTCCATTTAAAAAAAAGAAAAACCTCATTCCTTAGACATCCACGTCTGCCATCGCTCGCTGCAGGGGATCCACAGCCCAGTAGTCGTCGTCCCAGCCCAGGAACCAGCCGGAGAAGGTGGGGGGCTCAAAGCCCTGTTTGACCACTGTGACCGGGGTTCTCTTGTCTCGGCTGGAGGGGTCGGTTTCAATGTACCGTTTGGCTGGAAACACACAAGTAGAAGGGAATCTCAGAGAGTCAGGGAGCAAGAGCTGAAACAGCCTCGTTGTAGCTAATTGGGTGTTAGAGAGATGATTGCAGATTGTTCATTTAAACAACCAACCAACTCGCAAAAGGGTTACAAAGATGATGAGGGGCCTGGAGCCCCTCTTTTACGAGGAAAGGCTGAGGGACTTGGGTCTTTTTAGTCTGGAGAAGAGAAGACTGAGGGGGATCTGATCAACACCTATAAATACTTCAAGGGTGGGTGTCAGGAGGATGGGGACAGTCTTTTTCCAGTGGTGCCCAGGGACAGGACAAGAGGAAATGGGCACAAACTTGAACATAAGAAGTTCCACCTAAACATGAGGAGGAACTTCTTTCCTGTGAGGGTGGCAGAGCCCTGGCAGAGGCTGCCCAGGGAGGTGGTGGAGTCTCCTTCTCTGGAGACATTTAAACCCCCCCCAGACACGTTCCTGTGGGACCTGCTCTGGGAGGCCTTGCTCTGGCAGGGGGTTGGACTGGGTGATCTCCAGAGGTCCCTTCCAACCCCATATCACCCTGTGACTCTGTAAAAGTTTTCACTCCCTGGTTTTAGCTACACCTGTCAGAAGGTGTTTGTAGAAAACTGACGTTAGGATTATAAGATGCTGTGACCCAGTGGGAGCCTCCACCCGAGGGGACTTTTCACTGCCAGGGGTTGAGTGCTGTGTGGGTGGATGGACACTACCCCCTGCACACTGACCTCGGGATCCTCCTTTCTTGAGAGATGTGATCTCTTTGGTCACAACACTGAGTTTTACGTTGTGCTTGAGGTATGTTTCTCAGTGTATTAAATTGCCTGCCTCACGATCAGATAGTGGGAAATAAGAAACTGGTAGCTCAGAGAGGAAAATGTCCTTACCAGATTTCAAAGCCTCGGTCTTTTCTTCTTCTTGGGCATCTTTCCCAATCCATACAAAGACCTAAAGATGAAAAACCCCATATGAATTATTTCAGTAACAATCAATCTCTTTATGAGAGAAAGGATCATGTAGACAGAGTCCCAGTGAACGGTGTGTGACACACACCAACACCGTACCTGGGCTTGTTGACCTATGGGACTAAAGCTATTGGTAAACAACGAGAAGCTTTTTGACTGTGTTTTGTCTACATGAACCAATTATACAGTAGCTTAACATCAGGAAAAACACAGATTTTTGAACATTTTTACAGAAAACATAAAAAATGCATCTCTAATTGCATTTTGGCTGATTTACGCACAGTGACGTTCACCTGAAGGAAAGGGCTCTCTAACACCACAGCTCCTCCAGCTGTTGTGATTTGGGTCTCAATCTACAGCCAGTTTGTGCCTGTTCTTTGCTCCTCTCGTCACGGGGCCGATGGGACGTACCTGATCCCATGTGTCAAGAAGCATCACATCATCTGTGGCAAGGTCATCCTGAGTCAGATCTCCAGGAACTTCTTCAATCTGGAAAATGGAAGGTTAAGATGAGCTCATGCTTCCAACGCCATTTCAGCTTTCCAGGAGAAACCCAGTTCATGCAGGTTCTGGTTTCACCTCTTGTTGGTGAGATGCATTAAGCCAGATCCTGGCATTGCATTTAAGTGTGTGACTCCATCTGTGTCACACGAGTGTTCTTACACCACAGAACACAAAATCAGTCTCTCTCGCTAGAGAAACTCTCTTTCACTCATACCCAGGACTTGTAACGCTGCCTCTTCCTAATTGAAAGATTCATGAGTTAAACTTTGAGGAGCCTGAACTCTAGTTGTTAACCAGGGGAGGGCCAGTTTGATGCTTCAGAAGATCGCTGGGCTGACACAACTGTCTCTGCAGAAGGATGGTGCCCACGCTCTCCTTCTGGAGAGGAGCTGTAGCAGCCTGGCTGGGGGCACAACGGGACCCAGTTTCTCCTGGCTTTGTCAGATGGATGTTGAATTAATTGACTGTCACCTTAGATACTCACAGTGAAGCGTCCGATCTTGTTGGAGCACGCGAAAAGACGAGGGGGATGAGCATCCATCTTCTTGTCCTTCAGCCGGGGAGAGGTACGGTAAGGAGCTTTGCCACCCAAAGCTGCCCAGAAATTATCTGAAAAAGACAAGGAGATGCTGGTGCTTCAGCTGTTCGTAGAAACCATGGCTTGGGTGGGACTTGAAGCACTCTTCTATGTCAGAAAGTCCCAAAGGCCTACAAACACGAGAGCACTGTTAAACAGAATAAAGCTACTGTGGCCTGTGTCCGTATTTCATTGTTCTGGGAAGCAAAAGAAAATATCCATGAAATAATTACTGGGAACACGCAGCTATACAGAAATTGTCTCAGACTCACCTGGCTCTCTGCCCTCAGAAACCTGGACTGGGCGAGCTCCCAGTATCTTCAGCAGCTCTTGTGCTCCCGATTTCTCGGCATCACTGGCTCCTTGGCCAACCCACAGGTAAGCAGCGGAGGGAGTTTTCAGGACAAAGGCATCGTTGGAGTTCAGCTGACTGGCAGCAGGATCCAGCTGAAAAAAAAGACCATTGCCCGTGTCAGGTGTAATCGTCCTTTACATAAAACCCATTATTTCAAAATAAAACTCAGTGCCTATCGTTGAACAAACTGCAAACAGGTATTCCCCGCAAGCACGCGAGGCTGTAAAACATTGTTTATTTGCCGGTATCTGAGTGATGATTTAGACTCTTTAGAGAAGAGTAAATAAATGTGTGTTCCTGTGTGCACATTCGACCTACGGCAAGAATGCCAGGATCTGTCCTTTTGCCAGGCTTTATGGCTGTGACAGGAGACGTAAGAAGTGGCTGGGGAGGCGGTGGTGGAGCAGTGTCCCTGCTGCTGAGGCTGAGCAATCACTCACGTGATCTCCTCTGTGTCAACAAGGACATGCCATCTTGAAGCCAGAAACTTGGGACTCTGCTGCAGACATGGAACAGTCCTCTTGCCTCACCCGTAGCTACCGACCAGGATTTTACTCTCTCTTTTTGTTGTTGCACTGGGGGTTTTCATGTGTGTGTTTTCTGTCAAAGGAACGGGGCTCAGCACCCATGTCCCAGCACAAGTTCTGTTTGCACAGGGGGTATTTAGCACGTTCTGTCTTCAGCACTGTTGTCACACAGGCTTAGAACAGGTTACAATGTCTGGATCTGAATGGTTTTCAACAGTTTGAAAAGTGTCATACTATGTGGGGTACAGCATCTAGTGAGGAGAAAATGGCTTAAATGCATTCATTTATGAACTAATTAGAAAATAAGGATTATCACTTCTTATCTGTGGAAAAATTGGAATCTTTTGATAGTTTGTAAAGTCTTCCAGCTGTGTTTCAGTTTACAGAAGAAAGCTCTGTTTGGCCTTTGTTCTGTCCCCCTGGCAGCCTGTGCACACAGGAATCTGACTCCCACTTACCTCCACCGCTCTGGTGGCTCCTGAGGAGCTGGACCGGACCTGGAAGAGCCGTGTGTCTGCGGGTGCTGTCTGCCCTCCTTCCCTGGAGGTTCCACCCTTGTAAATAATCAAGGGCTTTCCACCAAACATGCTCATCAGATGGGGAGGCTCTTTTCCTTGCACGACTCGTTTCTAGAGAAAAAGAAACTTACTGTCAGCTTTAAGCTACTGCTGAAAAAGTAACAAGGATGTGCTAGAAATGGCCTTTACGACCTTTACATTCCAGCTGGAATCTTCATCAAATACTGAGCTGGTCACAGGAGCTCAGCTATTACCTCCCACACAAAAACTGACCCGTGTTTAAACAGAGCTCTCAGAATTCCCATTCCATTTTAATCAAGGAGTGATCCACTGGCACAGGGGTAACAAATGAAAAACCCTCCTGTCTCCTACAGACCATTTGTAAAACTTTCTTGAGTAGTACAATACTCAAGCGTAGGTGAGGCCCGTGTCCTCCCCAACACCTACAGAGCTGGAGGCTGTCGCTGCACGAGGAGGTTTCTCACTACCAATCGTATCACAGAACAACACATCTATCTTATTTATTCCCACTGTGTTGGGGTTTTGAGGTTTTTTGTTTGGTTGTGTGTGGTTTTTACCTGCACAGGGCTGCCCCCCAGCTCCTCATCCAGCTGCACTGTGAGGAACGCAGAGGTTGCAATTTCATCCTGAGTAGAATCAGCCCCCTGCCTGAAAAACGAGGCAAAACCTGAGTTTATAAGGAAACCCTTTGTTACCAAACCTTTGCAGCGCTTCACTCAACATGAAAGAGAAATTAATTATCCTTTGCTGTAACTTGGTGATTACAGAGAGAGATGGGAACATTTTCTAGGTAATAAGCACAGATTCTTGAGTATCTTTATGCCTATCCCCCATTACCTTTCCAGCAGCCAGTTTCAAAACTT